AGGAGAGAGAGAGAGAGAGAGAGAGAGAGAAGGAAAGAAAGAAAGAAAGAAAGAAAGAAAGAAAGAAAGAAAGAAAGAAAGAAAGAAAGAAAGAAAGAAAGAAAGAAAGAAAGAAAGAAAGAAAAGAAAGAAAGAAAGAGAAGGCCACAATAATACATTGAACTTTCAGAAGGTGAGAACAAATCTATGGTTAGTAGACGTGGGAGAGGGGAGGTGTGGGGGGGTTGGGAAGAGAGTGGGTAAGGGGCATAAAGTATAAATTATGATTTGTAATAATGAATATGCTATTGATCATCACATGTCATACACAGGTGATGGGAGTCAATGCTGTTAACCCAAAATATGTACAATCAATTACACTTCAATAAAAAAATGAATAAATTGAAATAAAATTTAAAAAATCAGTAATAATAATAAAAATAAAAAGTTACGTGGGATCAGGAGACTCACAAATTCAGAAAACTTATTCTCTTAATAACCCATCCAGAACCTCTACCCTCTGACACCATAGTCACTTCTTGCTGTGGTTCCGTCTGCTCTGACCAGGGCTGTGGCCACTGCCTCTGCCAGAATACCTGCTGCCACCCCAGCTGCTGCCAGACCACACGCTACAGGACCACCTGCTGCTGCCTCAGCAGCTGTGTGTCCAGCTGATGCCGCCGCAGCTCCTGTGGATCCAGCTGCTGTGGTTCTAGCTGCTGTTGCCCCTCTTGCTGCCAGACCACCTGTTGTAGGACCACCTGCTGCTATGGATCCAGCTGCTGTGACTCTAGCTGCTGTCATCCCGGCTGTTGTGTGTCCAGCTGCTGCCTCCCAGTTTGCTGCTAGACCACCTGCTGTTGCCCAGTCTCCTGTGGATTCTCTTGTTATTGAGCTTCATTCCTGACCACCAGCCCTGAGTCAACCTCATGCTGCCATGCATCAGCCTTCCTCATTTCTGCTGTCCACTGCACCTGGCCGTGTTCTGATCTGGCACTGCACTAATTCATCCCACAAGTCATGCCACCAAGCAGCTATTTAAAAAGCAGCAATTTAAATGACCACCACACAAAACTGCCAAGTTCTATGCCTATTACCCTGACACTCAGACGACTAGATGTGTCACACCATGTCACTGGGATAGGCCCCTTATCTTATAATTGTTGTGTGTGTTCTGACCTTTGCAATGAATTATGTGTGAAAGAATGACTACATGTCAATAAACACTTACTTTCTTGGTATCAGAAACTTTTGTGGCCCTTCATTATTTTTTATTATTGATTATTTATTCGGAGCCAAGTTTGTGTCTGTCATGTGAACAAAAAATACTGATTTGGGATATATCAAAGCCTATGTTCAAGAAAATGCCAAATAATTCATTTTTTCCCCAAACCAGAGTGCCCACTTTAGCTGTCAAGTTTATTGAGAAAAAGCAAGAACTTCCTTTTTGCTGTAATTGAATTATGGGTCAACTAACAAGCTAGTGGGCTCTGGGAAGCACACAAGGTGAATGAAACCCAGTTCTTAGCTCTCAGGTAACTCACAATGACTTTTTGGATTTAACAGGAAGGCATGTGTCAGGTAGATTGTGCTTGCCATATTGGTGAGAAAGGGGAACCTGAGCTATCAGAGAAGAGTAATACATAAGGGTTGTTTATAGAAATAAAGTGTGTCAAGTCTAAAAATCCAGGGAACATGAACAGCTCTCAAAACAGAAGACAAGACAAAGTGGAGAATTGGATGACAGCTGAATGTTTATATTCTTTTGAAGGGAGTTATTATAAGCAAAGTTACCAAGACAACACTGTAGTCCTTTTGAGGAGGAGGGGTATATCAAGATTAACTCATAGAGTGGAGCTAATTATGGTGGGTCCTACAGTGGTCAAGATCTAGTGAAGCTACAGATGGAGTGAAAATCAGTGAGTATGATGGTGCCAAATGTCACTTATGGGAAGGAAAGTGTTGGACATTGAGTTGGAGGTGCGGGCTGAGTTCTATTTTCTTTCCCATTTTTTTTTTTATTGTGGCAAAATATATATAAGGATTTCCATTTTCAGAATTTTAAACATACAATTGCATGGAATTAATTACATTCACAATGCTGTGTAACCATTACCTCTGTGTATTTCCAAAACTTTTTGAGGTGCTTTATTTACACAATATCCATTCCTGCTCCATTAAAACTCCAGTTGCAGGGTTTGCATACACATCTCACTATGGGACATGAAAAACTTTAGGGGCTTCCTGAACATGACCTGGATGAAGTCACCCAGCTGCCTGTGTTTGCTCTAACATTGAGATTACTTTTCCTTTGGGAGTTCGGTTCATATTGTACTTTCTATGTCTTTCCAAGAGTGTTCCTTCCAACCCAAATTGATATCGATAGGTTCAAGAGCTGTTTTAGCTCTGGGCAAAAGCTTTGTTGGAAAGAAAAATAAAAAGGGAAACGAAAACAGCACAAAACCAAAAAACACATTCAGAAATTAATCGGTAACACAAGGCAGGAACCATATCCTGGGACACTCCTCGATTTATTCTAAGATCATAACTGGTCTATACAAAATGTTTTTCATTGCGGCATTCCTTAGGTGCTCTGGCCTGGGAAATTGTTAGAGTTTTAAATGATTATGCCTGCAGTGTCATCTTGGTATATTGCAATACTGTTTTTGTCTTGTTCATTTCTATGCTCTCTTTTACAGCACATAAACATTTATATATATGTTTTCTTAACTTTTGGAGTTTTCCTTTTATTACCCAAAAATGTCAATATTGCTACTTTTATTTTTTGCATTTGCCTACCACTTTTGGACTTCTCTCATGTTAATATTTGAGGTTTTTATTTTATTTATTTTTTTGCTATTTTTATCCTCTATCAATTTTAGAATATATTTAAATGTCTTTAAATTTTATAATTTTATCTCCTGGAACCATTTTTTCCCCTGTCTTATCTACGTTGTAATGGAATTCTTTATTTCAACTTAACTGATGGGAGTGATTCTTAAATTAATTCTAATTTTAAAGGGAGTTTATAAATTGTGAATCCTTGAATCTATGAAGAAATCTTTTCTCTGTCCTTACACTTGACCAATAGCTTGTCCAGATCTAAAATTATTGAGCCACAATTTTTTTGCCTGTAAAAACACTTTAGATGTGAATGAAATATTTTAAAGTAAAATTATCCTCCAGGATCATAACATGGAATTGAAACATACAGAAAGAATCTTGCTAACATGTGGGGCTTGTGGTAACCCACTGACTTCAGGGAATGATTTAAGGAAGAGTGTATATATGGAATGCTAAGCTTAATTTTAAGGGTTCACAAATTGTA